AAATATCTTGGTAATCGTCAATAAAATAAATAAATGTTAATTTTCCAGGCTTCTCTGTAATAATAAGTCTACTGCCATACTTCAACTTCAATCGTATTTTTATAGTTCTGTTATCTAAAGCTACATCTTGACAAACATTCCTTAATTCATCTATCGAAAACATTTCAATCATCACTCGTTTGTATGAATTCAAAAATTTTCTTCATCGCACAGTTTAGAGTTTTACCTTATGTATGGGCAATTTTATCACCAGTGTCAGGCTTTAAAAAAGCTTTGTAACAACTGTCATGGTATTTTGCATCAGCAGCGACTAAATCATACTCAAAATTAATAAGTTCAAGAATAGCCTTTAAAACATCATCACAATGATTTTTAGCTATTTCCGACAGGTATTATTTGAATTTTAGTGTAGTCTCGTTACAAGTTTTTTTTTTTTTTTGAAGATGCTAAGCTTTCTTTTTTTTAGTTTCTTTATTGGCTTCATTGCCACGAAATAAACAGTATTTTTTTTAAATAAGTCTTATTTTTGAAGTAGTATTATTAGTTAGCATTATTCTGATGTATAATTTTTTGCAATCCATGTGTATTGTAAAGGATTTTTGAGGTCTTAGGTAAACTAATTACCTCTTGCGAAAACTAGCCTCGATTAAATTTATCATACCACGATCAACCACAATTATTTTATCTTCACTTAAAAGTTTATTGCAAATAAAGCAAAACTGAGGCATCTTTTAGGAAAAAAAATCATAGAGACCATTTGTATAGAGAATTTTAAGATCTTCAACTTTGGTTTGGAGTTTTTTTTTGATAAACATTACTGTTTTCGAGAAAAATCCAAAAAATCTCAAATAACTTTTATAGCACACATACGGCCGATGGGAATTTTTAAATCGTTATTGGTAATGGTAAACCCCAGCTTTCCACCAATATTTGGCTTTCCTGTAATTTATCTTCTTATTTGACCACTATTTGTATGTCTAAATTGATTGGATTATTAAGATTGAATTAAATTTTTAAAATTAGTAAATTTTAAAAATTTATCAATTAACTCTATGGCTCCAGAACAAAAAAGTATCAACCATAGCTATTATGTAAATGCCATTTATCAAAGAGGTATGTTAATTTACATAGATAAAAAACAATATTTTTGTAATATTTTGATACCGATGTCTTTAAAAAAAAAGTTAAAATTTCCAAAAAAAATACTTAGTTTTTACAATCATAGAACCACATGTAATTTTAAATGACGCCATAAAGTAAAAGACAACAAATACAGTTACAAAATATATTGGAACACTAATATTTCGTTAGCTCATGCTAGTCGATTATTACTCTTTAACATGCATAACACTGGTTTCAATGACTCTAATTTTTTTAGAAGAGTTATTTGTTTTTATATATAATTTTGTTTTTTATACGAGTATATATTATATCCATATTTTTCTTAAGTTTCTTATACTACCCATTGTCGTTTTTTATATATAGATTTAGACTGTGTACCCTTTAGTACCACTGCCAGTGGCAAAAAATAGGTCGGCTTCAGATCTTTAAAACTATATGGTCGCCAAAAAGAAAGCGAAAGGAGCAGTAGCAAAAGATAAAGCAGAAGCCTACATAAATCTATACTATGCGGTCAACTTGATACTAGGGAAGATGAAAAAAAAGATATAATAACCAAACAGAGAAAAAATAGCAAATGATTTTATTCATATTAGACGGCTTCGATATGAAAACTAAAAAAAAATAATTCACGAAATGGATGTCAAAAAGATTTAAAAAAAAGTACTTGTCCGTTTTATTAAATAAAGAATTTGACAGAAAACTAAATGAATTAACGGACAATAACATCAATAGTCACCAAAATAACAAACGAGAAAGTGGTTCCAGCAGTTTAAAAAGTAAAGAAAAAAATAGCAGTTAGACCAGATTATATTCCTAAGAAAGTGTGGAGAGCATATAACGATATCAACGCTAACGTTTTTAGTTTACCTCCGCTAGAGGAAGACAGAAACGCTATAAAACAAGAGTCGGCACAAGAGAGAATCGAGTTCTATTAGTGTGTTGATCTGGGAATGACTTCACTGATCCTAGGGTTTTAATCGAAGGCCAATTGCTTCTGCTAGAGTGTTGATCTAGAGGCATAAACACACTGTATTTTCGTTTCGACTTTTATACAGTATATTTTGACACAGTTTTAAACAGTGAGTCATAGACTCGTCGATAGCCGTACTGTGCATGCGTTTAAACCTACGTTTCACTAAGCAGCTTTACTGCGAATCAGCTGTCTAAAAGAGCTACCCGTCACAGGAAGAGACAGGAATAAATTGGCTAACAGGTTTATTTATTAGAATTATGAAAGTTGAATAAATGCCAGCCAAATAGAATAGCAGTGCATTAGTACCTGTTTACAAAAACAAGGTCAATATACAACAGTATACAAACTACAAGGCCATAACACTACTTAGTCGCATCATGAAAAGTGAAGAAACCGAAATATTCGATAATCAGTTTGTCTTTATGCAAGGCAGGTCTATAACAGATGCAACTTTCATTATAAGGCAATTGATATAAAAAAAATACAGGAATAAAGAAACAAACGCTCTTATGGTATTCATTGATCCTGAGAAAACATTTGAGAGGGCGGTAAATAAGAAAGAATGAATATGTAAAGATTGTGAGAGACATATATGAGGGAGTGGTGGAACAGGTGTGGGAGAGACTGACTTGTACGTGAAAGTAGGATTGCATTAAGCCTCGGTGCTTAGTTCTTATTTATTCTAATTAATTTTGAACCAGATAATACCGAAACTACAGGATACCATTTCCTGGTGTTTAATGCAGGCTGATAATTTAGTCCTTATTAAGTTTATCCTTAGTTTTTGAATTGTATCAGCTCTTTGATGAGCCAGATGTCATAACGTTCATTAAAACACAGCGACTTAGATGGGCTGGACACATAATACGAATGCCAGAAAATACCATTGCTAAAAAGCTAACCACAGGAACACCTGTAGGAAAAAGAAGCAAAGGCCGACCGCGAATTAGGTGGTTAGATGGAGTAGAAACCGACTTACGAATATTAAAAATCAGAAGATGGCAACATGTTGCCAAAAACCGAACAGAATGGCGACGAATCTTAGAGCAGACCAAGATCCACAGAGGATTGTCGAGCCAAAGATGATGATGATAATTTAGTCCTAGTAGGAAATAGTGAAAGAGACTTAGAACAAAAAGAAAAAAAGTGGTGTCAAGCTCTTGAAGAAAAAGGTTTAAACATAAGTAGGACAAAAACAGAGTATTTGGAACGTCCATTTTAATGAGTTACTACAAAAGAATATATGGTGGATTTGGATAATGAAATAATTGTGAAAAGTAATAATTTTAAGAATCCGGGATCAGTTTTACAAAGTAATGGTAAAATAGAGGTGCACGCAGTAGAATTAGGGTTGGTTACGATGGTACGGATGAAGTGGAAGAAAAAAAGTGGTCTCTCTGGTGCAGATTTTTATAACAGCATTTTTTTTAGCTATGTATTTATTGAAGAAAAAAGTTACTTTGTTTGGGACCCTGAAGAAAAATAAGAAAGAAATTCCTCAAGAATTTTTTCCACATAAGTCAAAAGCATGTCAGTCTAGCATATTTGGATTTTAAAAAGATTATATGACCACCTCTTATATAAGCCGTAAAAGTAAGTCACTCATATTATTAACGTCTATGCACACCGAAAGATGACATGTATACTAAGAAACCATAGTTTATTTTAGATTACAACCAAAAAAAAATAGGGAGTTAGTAAATTTCGAAATTCCAACACTATTAAAAATAGCTAAATATAAAAGAAAAAAGGCAGTAGTAATAAACTCATGGAAAAAATTAAACACTTTATCAAAATTCCATGTGAGTTCGTGTCAATCAGTGATTATGACATTTGAAATTGTAGAAAAATAAAACTTTCCACAAACTCCCCTAGACTTGCATAAAAAACTTGAAGAAAAAGTAACACCAAATCGATTATCGCGCAATTGCAAGAAATTGCAGGAAATAATCAGTTGATGACATACTGCGCATACTTTTAGGCAATTTTCTTGAATCTTTCAGGTATAATTGCAAGCTGTAAAACGGACTTTACGAATTACGAAAAGATGGCCGTGTGTCATATTCTATAATTTATTGAATATTATCGGCATAAATGCTTTCGTTCTACATTCTGCTAAAAATTCTGGAAAATCACTCAAAAGAAGACATTTTTTCAAAAACCTTGTAATGAACTTGATAAAAGAACACCTTCATACACGATCACAAAATCTAAATACTTTCACGTGATATAACCAAGTTCCTGTTCAGTTTTTTTGTTCAATTTATTAAAAAATTAGTTAAATGAATAAAGCTTGTTTTATTGTTTAACAAAATTAATAACGATACAGTTAACTAATTCAAAAAGTGTCAAAAATATTAAGGAACTACATGGCAGCAAATTTCTGCCGCGCGCCGGATGAATATTCCGGATGAGTATAATTACTTAAAGCGCGCCCGGTCGGAGGATAAACTAGTTACTTTGTGTTTATTGACAATTTTTTTGTATGTGACTTAATAATTCTTATTTTATACTCGTTTATTGTATATATAATTATTCTGCAATATGCTCGTTAAAGAAATTTTTTAAATTTTTTATTAATCAATATTAATTTAATAAAATATTTATGAAAAAATATATTAGTTATTTAATTAATTTGATCATTTTTATTTTGGACAGAATAATTGATAAAATATTCAACTATTTAATTTTTTAATTAGTTTTTATTTTAGTGTCAGTGAAACGCAGTGTCAGATGCAGTTACAAACTATTAAAATGTGCAAGTAGAAACAAATATTTACTCCAGTGCCAACTTGATCCATTAGTTGCATTGCCTTTGTTGTAAAAAGCAGAAGTTGAACGTTATGAAAGAAGTAATACAAAGGAGGAAAAACAATAAAAATGTATTAATTTGTTGTTAATTTACCTGTTTTAAATGATTTTTTAAGATAGTTCCTTCCGGTTCCGGCAACGGTGGAATTTCAGAAGGCGATATTAATTTATTTGAGTCCAGATCAACCAGCCAAACGTCGTCAGGTAATCTAGAAAGAAAAACATTTTTACACATTAGACAGTAAGATTTACACATTAGTTATGTATACATATACAGTACGGTCGCGTTAATCTGCACACAAGGTCATCCGAACGATGTGGTAGTTCGAAAGGGCTTACGCGACTCCCCCTACCTCTCCCATGATTGAATCGACATGAATCGATATAAATCAACATGACGAACATCGGTTTTTACTTTCCTTGCCCACCTACATATTATTTAGTTCTGTTAGTGCTTTCGTGTCACGATGGCTCCACGTAAACACGTGACTTTGATTATCGAACAAAAGACCAAAATTCTCAAGTTGGTATAGCAAGGAACTAGTTATATGTACACTTTCATTTCAAAACAGTTCGGTGTTGGCCAATCTACCATTCCAGATATTAAAAAGAACATAGAAAATATCGAAAATATCAAGGAAGAGGAAAACCATTAAAGACTTCAAATATCCGAAGGTAGAAAGTGCATTGTTCATGTGGTTCCTACAAAAGCGAAGCAAGCATATTCCGATGGATGGTAAAATGTTGTGTGAAAAAGTCCGTCATTTTCATCGTAAAATGTCACCAAATCACCAAATTTTAACGCATCTAAGGGTTAATTGGTCAACTTCAAACAACGTCATAGAGTTAGACATCTTAAAATTACTGATGTGACACTTTCGAGTTATGTCGACGGCATTGAACTCTTCCAAATTGCATTTGAAGAACTTGTAATTAAAAACAATTTGGCATCTGAGCAAATTTACAAAGCAGATGAAAGTAGGTTATCTTGGCGCATATGACCACACCAGACATTGGTGTCATCTCAAGAAAAGAACGCCCCTGGTCGAAAAATTATAAAAGAAAGAATCACCTTTATGCTTTGTGCAAATTCTTCAGGGACTCACAAGCTTTGTTTGCAATAGCCTTGTGGGGATGGCTAAGAAGCCTCGTGCATTCAAATATTTTGATCTTCCCGTATGCTATCGAGGGCAAAAAAGTACATGGATGACAATATTGGTTCAAAAATCACCGAAAAATAAAGTTATTTTTCTTCTTATCGTGCTGTGCACCTATAGTGCGTTGGAGAATTATCTTAAGTCAGACGTTTGTTCTGAATATCCAGTTCGTATATGCCTGTCTAGATCTTTATATTTTATAGCCACGGTATTTTCTTGCAATCTACTCCTCTCCTAGCCTCAATCTGTTTTGAATAATTAGTTGAGCTATTGCATATCTTGCAGATAAGCACAACATGACTACAAGCTACATGAAAGCACACAGATGAGAATTTAACAGCTAGCGAGCAATGGGATATATGTAGAAGAACAATTAAGGAAGCGGCAAACAACGTCCTAGGACCAGAAGAATTCACTCCACGCAACAGTTGGTTCGACGATGAATGTGAAGATATCACTAAAAGAAAAAAATTATGCATATAAACTTATGCAACAAAGAAGAACACGGGATAAGGAACAAATGTACAAAGATCTTAGGAAGGAGGAAAAACGCATACATCGAAGGAAAAAGCGGACCTTCGAAAACCAGATTATGCAAGAGGTTTAATCATTAAAGGGGCAAAATGAAACTATAAAGTTCTATAATATCGTAAATAAGACAAGAAAAGAATTTAAACCACGGCTGACGATGTGTAGAGACAAAAATGGACATATAGTCAGTACCGCTGACGCAGTACAAAGCAGATGGGTTGAGCACTTCAAAGAACTACTTGGTACCGAAGTGGAAAATGATGCGTCCACCCCAAAGACCAAGAAATAACACTCACGTAGAACCTCCTTCAATATTTGAAGTGAAAGACGCAATCACACGACTCAAAAATACCAAGTCCCCAGGAGTGGATTGTATCCCCGCAGAGCTCATCAAACATGGAGGTAACAGCATTATGCACCAAATTCACAACATAATAGTCAAAGTCTGGGAAGAAGAACAAATGCCAGAGGAATGGTGCACTGGAATCATATGTCCACTGCACAAAAAGGGAGATTTGTTGGAATGTAAAAATTATAGGGGTATAACTCTTCTGAATACAATGTACAAAATATTCTCCAACACCCTGTACAGCCGTTTAAGTACGTACGTGGAAGAAATCCTTGGTGAGTATCAAAGCAATTTTAGGCCAGGTAGGTCAACAATTGACCAGATTTTTGTGCTACGTCAAATCTTAGAAAAAACCAATGAATTTAATATTGACACGTTCCATCTCTTTGTGGACTTTAAGTCAGCGTATGATAGCGTCCTAAGAGGTAAATTATACGAAGCCATGAATGAACTTAACATTCCCCATAAATTAATAAGGCTCGTAAAAACAACCATGAGTAAAGTGATCTGCAGAGTGCAAATACAAGGCGATATGTCGTATGCGATATGTCGTGCAAACGTACAAGCGTTTGAAACATATGCAGGGTTGCGGCAGGGAGACGCGCTGGCGTGCCTTCTCTTTAATATAGCGTTAGAAAAGACTATAAGAGATGCCGAGTTACTACACGACGACTTAAAGAGATGACTTCCACCTTCTTGACAGCCGCACAAAATATGGGCCTTAAAATAAACGAGGAAAAAAACCAAAATGTTAGCATCTATTCCAAATAACAGAGATAGAGCTAGAAACGCCGAACAAAACTTCAGTATAGACCAATATAATTTTGAGTTAGTAAATAAGTTTACATATTTGGGTTCTCTCATAACAAACGATAATGACACATCTGAAGAAGTTAAACGGAGGGTACTGCTAGCAAACAGTTGTTATTTTGGACTAAGCAAGCAGCTAAAAAACAGAAATTTAAGACAGAAAACCAAAGTAATAATATATCGAACACTCATCCTACCAGTGCTGACATATGGGTCAGAAACATGGACCATCTCCAAAACAGACGCAAATCTTCTGCTCGTCTTCGAAAGAAAGATACTAAGAAGAATAATGGGCGCATTCTGTGAGAATGGTATTTGGAGAAGGTGATATAATTTCGAATTGTACGAGAAGTATAAAAAAATAGTAAATGGTAGGGATGTAATATCCTTCATAAAAATAGGTAGGCTTAGATGGGCTGGACATATGTCAAGAGCAAATGAAAATTACCCACAGAGACGAACTCTATTATCGGTCCCAGTGGGAAATAGGAGTAGAGGCAGACCACGACTGAGACGGAGGGACGGTGTGGACGAGGACGCAAGGAAAATCGGTGCGGCAAATTGGCAACGGTTGGTGATGAACATAAACGACTGGCAAAATAGACTGGGGAAGGTCAAGGCTCAACTAGAGCTGTAGCACCACTGATGATGATGATGATTGCATATCTTGATTAAGTTACGTAATTCTCTCTCAGTATTTGATTTTCTTTAGACTTTCACGTTTCTCACTCTATCTATACATAGTATGAAAAACACGCTTCACAAGGTCCACATTTCGCATAAATTAAATAAAATCTTGTCTTTTTTGGTCAGTCTAGCATTTTATTATAAATTAATAATGCAACGCCTTAATGAACGCTGTCATGAGTACGGATTGAAGATAAATTTAAAGAAAACTAAATGCATGATCATGACTAAATCTGCACATGCAAATATCCAATTGACTATTGAAGATACTGCAATTGAGAATGTTAATAACTATAAATATTTAGGAACATGGATAACATCAGATGTAGACCAAACCAAAGAAATTAAGACACGTATTGAAATAGCACGTACATCATTTATTAAACTTAAAAAGTTTCTTTGTTGTCGGGATATAAGGTTAGAACTACGACTGAGAATGCTTCGATGTTACGTGTTCTCTACTCTTCTTTATGGTCTGGAAGCTTGGACACTAAAACAAGTTCATCTGAATAAGCTGGCCGCCTGTGAATTTTGGTGTTACAGAAGAATCCTACGAATATCATGGATTTAAAGAATGTCAAACATGGAAGTAACTAGAAGGATAGGAAATGAGGCGGAAATAATATTAACTATTAAAAGACGAAAACTTGAGTACTTGGGACATGTGATGAGAGGGCAAAAATATGCATTATTACAACTTATTATGCAGGGCAAAATCCGAGGAAAGCGAAATGTGGGAAGACGAAGAATATCCTGGCTTAAGAACTTAAAGGAATGGTTTGAATGCAGTAGTGCAGAACTTTTTAGAGCGGCAGTCAACAGAGTCCGCATAGCCATGATGATTTCCAACCTTCGATAGAAGATGGAACTTAAAGAAGAAGAAGCATTTTATTTCTTGTTGAAAATCTCATCGGTCATTTACCATCATTCCCAAGCATTTAAATGTTTTTACTTGCTTGATTTGAGCATTATCTACTGGCAGTAGTACTCTTAAAAGTGCGTTTTTCTTATTGCCATGCATTTAGTATTTTTAACAATGATCTTTAAGCCATATGTTTTTCGTACAGTATTTATTTTATTAAATATTAACTGCATATCATGTCCGTTCTCTGTGATTATTGCAGTGTCGTCGGCGTAACGAATGTTATGTGTCGAGTATCCGTTGACCTTTATACCACACTCAATGTGTACCAGCATTAAAGTTCTACTGCAAAATCATTCTCCACTTAGAGGTTGGACAAGACAGGAAACAAAATACAGCCTCGTCGCATCAGTCTTAAAATGTCAAACTCCTCTGTGTTCATTGATTTGTTCAGCCTCTCGTACATTTTTATTGCAATAGATATTCTGGATAACTCGTATCTTTCTCGCCAATGTCAGTGTTGTGTTAACTACCTTATGGTGTTAACCGCTTTTTTATAATCGAGGAGTATGATGAATATTTAGAATATAAATTTTACTTGCAATTGCTTTGTCAGCATTGGCTATAGCCATTTTTATTTTCTCACAGGTTTTCCCTATGCAATTTACTTGTATATTTCTAAAGTAAATAAAATATAAAAATAAACAATTTGCGTTTTTCGGACGATACAGTCTTTGTTGCAAGTAAAGAAGAATCGCATAAGACTGGGGGAAAATAAAAAATCAAATATTTGGTCTGTAGTTAAACACATAGAAGACAAAAATCATGATAGTAGGAATGCAACACAAGAATTACTTAGACGTCACCAAAATCCATGCATGGTCAACTAGAAGGATCTTAGACAAGGCAAGAGAGGGGGAGCCTAATCGTATAAAATTGACTTAATCCTAAAGCGGCACCAGAAAG